GGAGAACAATTTATACAATGCCAACAACACTGTCAAGACAAAGAACCGTGACAGACTTAAGATCTCTGATCAATACAATGACCATCTGTGGTCCCATATGAGGAACCATGCTACCCATGTGGGAATTTATTTTGCTTGTTAACAAGTAGTTTGTTTTTCTTTCCTCAATTGGGGGGATGGCAGGGTGAGAGAAAAGAAACACTTATTAATTGAAAAAAACTAAAATCAAATACAAATATTCAAAAGAAGGCTAAACAAAATTATTGTATCAAGCATTCTCCTCTCAGCAGAATAAAAGGAATCAGATCAGCCCAGCTCTCTCAAATCTTCTCCAAGAAGGATAAAAAAAAGACCACTGAGAAATGATCGGTAGATCTAAGGAAAAACTACAGTATGTACATTTTGACAGCCCAGGTCAGCACAAAGAAATAGCCAGAGGCCTTCAGGCACTAGTGAAGGGGATGAGCCAGAAAAGCTTGGGCTAGGATCATGGAGCAGGAAAGGCTTTCAGCCATACAGAGCAGAAAAGAGCCAGGAAAGCCTGTAACCTGCTGTAGCAGCTGGGAAGACAGAAGCCCATATTAGGGTTAATCAAAGGAAGTCTTGATCCTGAACTTTATCGCTCTGGCATCCTCTGACTAGGATCTGGAGGGGGCAGCCTAGATCAGAACACCTCAGGATAGGGACAGACCAAGCCTCCTCCCTGGAGCCACTCCTGTTGTCCTTGAAGGCCAAAAGTACTCATTACCTGGGCCACAGATAGAACAGATTCTTTCCAAGGAAAACAGCAACATTAGGACCAGGCTCACAGAGCCTGGTCCTAATCAAGAAATATTAGAACAAAATAAAAAGACTAAGTTTTATCAGAAAATGGAAGGTATCTTTTATCAAAAACGACTGACCTGAAGAAAATATTGTATATAGTAACAGCAATAGTTTGAAGAGTAACTGTGAATGACTAAACAATTCTGAGTAATATGAATATTCAAAGGATTTATGAAGGAAGATGCTATCTACCTCCAGAGAAAGAACTTATATGTATATGTGTGTGTATGTATATATGTGTGTGTGTGTGTGTGTATATATATATATATATATATATGTATATATATATATATATGTATATATATATGTAGATATGTGTGTATGTGTGTGAGAGAGAGACCTCTTAAAAGAAAGCCAAAATGAAGATTCCTAGGAACGTCATAACCAAAGCTTCTAGTTCAAAGAATACAGCTGATAGCCATAAAAAAAAAAAAAGAGTACTAGTGCTAAGGAGCCACAGTCAGGATCACACAAGACCTGGAAATTACCACAATAAAGGAGAGTTTGGAGTATGATATTACAGAAAGCAAAAGTTAAAGGCATACAACAAAAAATAATTTATTCAGCAAAGTGGAGTATAATATTACAGGTGAAAATGGACTTCCAATGATTCATGATGAATAAATCAGAACTGAGTAGATACTTTGAATTGTAAACACAGGAGTCAAGGGAAACATAGAAAGATAAAAACATTTGAGCATTTGGAAGTGATTATGTGATGACAAAACATTGATATTCTAACAGAGGGAAAAGAAACACATGTCCCTTCAGAACCCTAATATCTTCAAGAGTAGTAGAGGGAGTAATGAAGACTGGGTTTGGGATCAATTTTGTTACATTTTGATGTTAACTGCTCCTTCTCAATCTCCTTTACTAGATCTTCATCCAGATCACACTTGCTAACAATAGATGTCCCACAGGGCTCTGTCCTGGGTCCTCTTATCTTCCCCCTCTATGCTATTTCTCATGGTTATCTCATTGGCTTCTATGGAGTCAATTATCATTATATGCCAATGATTCTCAAATCCACCTATTCTGCCCTAACCTCTCTGCTGACCTCCAGTCTCCCATCTCCAAATGTCTATTGGACATCTGGAACTGGATGTCCTATAGACATCTTAAACTCAACATGTTTAAAACTGAAGTTGGTATCTTTCTCCCCAAACCCTCCCCTCTTCCTACCTTTCCTGTTAATGTTGAGAGGACTACCATCCTCCCAGTGACAGAGGCTCACAACCTAGATGTCACCCTCAACTTCTCAATCTCTCTGATTCTCTATGTCCAATCTATTGCCAATTCTGTTGATTTTTCCTTTGTAATGTCTCTGTTATGCTGTCCCTTCTCTCCTCTGATAATGTTGCTACCCTCATGCAGGACCTCATCATGTCCCTTCTGAATGATTGCAATAGCTTGCCTGTTGGTCTTCCTGCCTCAAATTTCTCCCCACTCCAGTCAATCCTCTAGTCAGCTATCAAAGTGATCTTCCTAAAGTACCATTTGGGCCTTGTTACTCCACTACTCAATAAACTCCATGTGGCTCCCTATCACCTCTAGGATCAAACATAAACCCCTCTGTTTGGTGTTCCAAGTCCTTCATAACCTGCTTCCCTTTACCTTTCCAGTCTTCTTATACCTTACTTCTGCTCCCCCTTCACCCAGTCACTCACTGTCACTTTGATCTAGTGACATTGGCCTCCTTGCCGTTCCTTGAACAAGATACTCTATTTCTTCACTGGCAATTTTCACTGACTATCCCGGGTGCCTGGAAAGCCCTTCCTTCCTTATCTCTGCCTCCTGATTTCCCTGAAGTTCCAGCTAAAATTCCCCCCCTTCTACAGGAAGCCTTCCCTGATCTGCCTTAATGTTGATGCCTGGTCTTTGTTGATTATCTCCTATTTATCCTGTCTAGATCTTGCTTGTACATAGTTGTGTGCATGTTGTTTCCCCCATTAGACTGTAAGTTTCATGGGATCAGGGACTGTCTTTTGCCCTTCATTGTATCTCCAACACTTAGCAAAGTGCCTGGAACAAAGTAGGTACTTAATATATTGACTGACTTGCTGATTTTTAGAGGAAACTCTAGACAAGAGCCCCAAATAACATTGCCCTCAAGCTAGGAAAGGTGAGGGTAATTGAGCCAGCAGATGTTAGAGTGGGGAGCCCAATCCCTTGAGGAGAGGTCAGGGTCCCAGAGAGCAGAACTTGGGCAAATGACAATGGCAGGGAAAGAACATCCATCTGACCATATGGTCAGTCCCTAGGACTTGAGCCTATTCCATTTTATCTTATTGGATTCAGCCTGGTTTTGTAGTCTGTCAATGTTATTTTTGGATCCTGGCTGTATCTTCCCATAGGTTAACTTTCTGGGAAGGGGTGTTCTGGAGTCAGGCTAGATCATGAGAATTCCCTCCTCAGCAAACACTACAAACCAGGCCTTGATTTTGTTGTTTTCTTGATTATCTAGACAAAAGAAAGTGATAGTGTAAATGTTAATAAAGCAGATTAAATTGAAAAGCATGTCTTGCTTATATTTCTTTTTCCAGAGAGTTGGTTGTTAAACATTGGCTCTTCCTTCCGTTTCAGTGTCATCTGCCGACAATGACTGTAAGATGTATAAGACTGAGTTGGAAGGGTATTAAAATAATCGTTGCACTTTTTACAGGGGAGGAAAGGGAGACTCAGAGAGGGAATGCTTTGCCCAAAGTCGATGCAGCTAGGAAGCAGCCGAACCTTTATGACTTCAGATCCTTTTGAGTCCAAATGGTTGCTCTATCCTATTCTATAGGGTCCTGCAAATGGAGGGACCCAGAATAGCCACCTGCCAGTGTCAAAGGGGCTCCAGGATCATAAAATGTGAGAACTGGAAGGGACCTTAGAGACCATCTAATCTAAATCTTTCATTTTAAAAAAGATCCAGAAGGCCTAGAAACAGAAAGGGCCTTGTCCAAGGACATCTGGCTGGGAAATATCATGACATAGATTTGAACCCTGGCCCTTTGGCTCCAAATACAACAGTTCTTTTACTGTACCCACCTCCAGGGATCTACCAGTGTTGGATCAAGGGGTCAGAGATTAAGAGTAGAAAGGGTCCTTAGAGAGGATCCAATTTACCCCCTCAACTTTTTAAAAAAACTTTACAGAATTAAAATATTTATTTTTTTATCTTCCCTAAAGAGAGAAATATTCTTATCTCAGTCAATTTAAACCCTGAATAATAAGATAACTATACTGGATAATGCACAGTACAGTTTGAACTCTGTAAACCTTTAGGTAACTGTGTGAATAACTTGTTGCTTTTACAAAAAGGTTTTTATCCGGAGTACTGATGCTTCAAAAAATAACCTCCAGAACTTTGTAAATAAAAATTGGAATTAGGTTTCAGTTACATAGCAGGGGACAACTTTTAATAGAATAATTTAATTAATATTAAAACAATGAACAAAAAGCATTTTTTTTACAGTGTAGGAACCATTCAAAATAACTATCCTGGGTATACAGCATTACACTTTCTGTCACACAGGTGGCTCATAGGAAAAAGATCTCCATGGCAATGTGATGCAACAGGTTCTATTTGCTTAGGCAGCATTATTTCCCCATAGTTGGCAGATAGAATTCAGGTGCTTTCTAATGATTTTTTTGGAGAAAAACAGGATATGCAGATGCAAAGGATCCAATAAAAACAGAACGTTGATAAAAAACAAATATACACCAATACACACATTCTGAGACGTGCCTTCCCAAGTCACAGTCTCAGCATAATGTAACACACTTGATCCAAAAATAAAATGTTATGAAATAGAGCAGAATCATAAATATGTAACTAGAAAGAAACTTTTTTTCGTTTTTACCAACTTTTGATCAGGAGAAAAATATTGCTTTCTATTCTACTGTGCTACCTTTTTGAAATAAGATATATATAGACATAGATATAGATACATAGATATACATATATATCTAAATATAATTAAGTTCTCTATCTCTACTCAGCTATTTATATACTAACTGGAAAATATTAAAAATGCCTCTTCAGAAATTATGAACAAATGATGCCTTTGGTCTATGAAGTGTTAAGAAAATAAATATTTTACAGGACAACTTTGCCCTGCCCCCCACCACATACACAAACGCTGGTGTAATTTCTGCTCACACTTGCTGATGAGTCATTTATTGAGTCACATGATGCCCAGCCTTTTCAAGCTGTCCTTAAACCCAAGCATAGGTTTGAGCCTGTGTGTTTGAAAGTTCAACCGGCCTGGAGTTGGAACATTATTGCTACCAACTCCCCTCCATTTTACAGATGAGGAAACTGAGGCTCAGAGAGGGGAAGAAAAGTGTTGGGGCTGATACTTGAATGCAGATCAGGCTTTACCCACTTCAAACTATTAGAGGCTGCAATTACTCCTCAGTGCCTTCCCGCCCTTTCTCCCGGGGCCGGTGCAGGATACACGCAGTCATTGTACCATAAGAGCCGGGTCTTCCCCAGCATTTGCGCAGGCAAACCCAGTCACACTTGCTGGGGAGAGCGTGAGGGAGGCAGCAGCTCCGGGCTGCATTAACCTGCCCATCCATCCTGAACCCAGGCCACCGGCCCTGATCTATCCCACTCCTGAGGCCCGCGTGCTCCAGTCAGAGACCAGAGAAGGCGAGAGACAGCCGTCCGGCCAGCCGTCTAGCCAGCCTGCATCTGCCCGGTGTTCCGACCAGAGAAGGCGGCCATCCAGCCAGCTCATAGCTGCCCCCGTGGTCTAACCAGGGACCAGAGACTCTAGGAGCCGGCCGGGCTTGCCGTCCAGTCAGCCGGGAGCTGCCGGCGTGCTCCAGCCAGAGATCAGAGGAGTCAGGAGCCAGCCGTCCAGCCAGCTCACAGCGAAAGAGGTGCCCCTGGTACTGCCCGCTGACCAAATGGCCTGTTCCAAGCACCAAGGTAAGCTGGACAGGGACCCGCCTGCTGTCCAAGAAGGGGAACCGGTACTGATCTTCCAGGGGCCCAAGATGCGCAAGGGCCAGTGTGTCCAGGTGACGGTTAGGAAGAAACAAGTTAAATACCTTGTACGCTACCCAAGGGGTGGAGGGAACAACACAGCCTCGACGGCTGTTGTGGTCAATCCAGATGCACCTCCCCTGGAGCCCCCACTAGCCCCAGAGCCTGAGCCTGCCTCAAGTGGCTCGATGGCGGAGCCCAGCAGCCCCAGCAGCAGCAGCAGCTCTAGCAGCAGCCCCAGCCCCAGCCCTAGCCGCCGCCGCCGCCGCCTCAGCAGCAGCAGCAGCTGCAGCAGCTGCAGTAGTTGCAGCAGCAGCAGTAACAGTAACAGCAGTGATGGCAAGGGTAGCAAGAGCGGCAGTAGCAGTAGTAGCAGCAGCAGCAGCAGCAGCAACAGCAGCAGCTTAGAAATCGCCATGCCCCTTTGGACCCCTAGTGGGAGCAGCAGCAGCGAGGGCCCCAGAATCAGCAGCCTGGGCCCGCAGCCCCCTGCCGCCAAGGTGAATGCCAAAGAAGGGCCCCTCTCTGTCGTTGTAGTTGGGGATTGGGAGTATGAATGGGTCCCCGAAGGCCGCGTGCTTCGCTATTCTGCTGCCCACGTGCAGGACAGCGATGCCGCCCTCCAGATGGCTGCTAAGAAGGAGCAGTTGGAGGATTGCCCAGTCACCTCCACTGGGGGCAACGACGAAGGCAATCTAGGCAAAGGCAGCAGCATCTGGTGGGGTACGGTGATGCAGTGGCCCCGCAAGCGCAAACGAGGGCGGGGGTGTAAGCGGGGGCGCCGGGGAGGCTCGCTGGCAGCGGATCCCCAAGAGGAGCACTTGAGCAGGCTGGAGGAAGTTCAAGTCCGACTCCCCAAAGCCCTGAAACCTCTGCTCGTGGAAGATTGGGAACTGGTGACCCTCAGGAAAAAGCTCTTCACTCTTCCCGCCAAAAAGTCCGTAGCTGCCATTTTGATTGAGTATGCAACCTTCCAACAAAATTATGGGAGTGCCACCAAGAAGCATACAGTCAGTGAAATGATGGCTAGCCTCCAAGAGTACTTCGACGTGGTGCTCCGAGACCAGCTTCTCTATGATTTTGAAAAACCCCAGCACTCGGAGATCCTGGCCAGCTACCCGACCAGGCTGATGTCCCAGATCTATGGAGGTGCCCACCTGCTGCGCCTTTTTCCGCAGATGGGCCCCATGCTGGCCTGCACTCCCCTCAACGACAGCAGCCTTGATGTTCTGCAGAACCACTTGCAAGATTTCCTGCAGTATTTGGCCATGGATCCTTCCCGGCTGTTTTCTGCTTCCACCGACTACCAGGAGGCTTCTGCTGACTACCAACAAAAAGCTGGGTAAGTGGTTTGGCCTTCTTTGCCCTTTACCATATTTGTATCTCTCAGAGCCTGGGATGGGTTGTCAGACCATGTCTTGTCTGAGGGCCCTGTTCTTATATTGTACTTACTTTGGCCCAGGACTGTTGTTTGTTCCCTTAAATTCCCACTGAGATAGCCTCTTTTCTCTTCTTACAGGGCTGTTAGTAGTCACAGAATAGACATAGTCACACAGTCACGGACATAGAAACCCTATAGGCACTTGCCCTGCCCAGGTGACCACATTGTATTCTGGCTTCTTAGCAGCCATTTAGCTCTTGGAGTACTATGTACAAGGCTTACTACCTATGTTAATGCTCAGTGACCAAGGACCTTGATTGATTGATGGTATCAAAGATGCGGCAGTTTTAAGGGTGTGGGTTTGTTTGGTTATCTGATATGTGGCTGGCTATCTGGGTAGGATAGGGAGGCTGGTTCGCTGTGCCTTCTTGAAATGTCCCTAGCTTTTTTGCCACTTGTGCTGTCTCTGTGCCCTAATTACTGAACAAGGGTTCTGATCTTTTCTGTGTTGATTGCAATGCACATTAAGGTGAAGGCAGAAATGCGTTGTTTTGTATTGACAGAGATCTAGGATAGATAGATGGTTAACTCTTTCAAAGTTGTTTTACAGGTGTTGAAAATATATTGATTTTGCTGTCAAAAATAGTGTGTATTTTTATGATTCTCAGAATTCCAATAGACCCCAGGTGCCCCGTCAGCTGGTCATTGTTACCTTTGTCCTGGCCTTGAGCCACTGTGACCCAGTAAGACCAGGTGGTGAGGAGGAGGGGGACTGGCTCAGAACTGGAATGGGGGGGTAGGGAGGGAGAAGCAGGGGCTACAGCCCCATTCTTTAAAGTGGATAATGACACCAGGTCTCCATCTCTAGGGGTCCTGATAGCCAGCAGCCCCTCCTGGGCCGAAGTGCTTGAACTTGTTTTTGCTGATGCCAGCTATCAAGAGAGTTAGAGGTAATCGGATGATTTCCACCTGAGGGAGGGGAGGGAGGTATCTCAGCAGGGTGCTGTTAAAACCATTCCTTCTTGCTTGGGAGACTTCTGCCTAAGGGCCCGATGCCCCAGCAGGGGGCCTGATATCATTACCCCATTTAGCAACTAATCTCCTGTTCTCACCCCTGGTAGATGATCCCTTCTTCAGTAACTGTCCTGGTGGCTCCACGAGCTGGGAGGAACCAGGGATGAATTGGCCACAGCTTGACCAGTGCCCAGGAATTGCTAATAATTAAAAATTACTGGCATTTATATAGCACTTCAAGGTTTGCAAATTGTTCCTATGCTATCTCATTTAGTTTTCACAACAGCCTGGTGGGGTAGGTGCTAGGGTTATCCCCATTTTACAGTTGAAGGAACTGAGGCCAATAGGTTAAGTGACTTGCCTAGAGTCCCACAGGGTCTGAGGCAGTATTTGATTGAGCCCAGGTCTTCCCAACTCCCAATGTACCACTTAGCTATCTACTGTTGCTGTGTCCTTGCTGCCCGTGGTAAGCCTCGGACCTGTATCCCCTTCACACATGCTGGCTCCCTCTGTAACCCTCTTGGGCCAAATAAGAAGGGGGTGGAACAGGGCCTCTGTATAGACATTGCTTAGCTTGAGAGACCTAGCTCTGGCAGGGACCTTGCAGGCCTTGAGCCCTTGCCCAGCATGTACAGACCCTGAAGCAGGAGAAACCAAATTGATTCCCACCATAGGCCTGAGTCTGAGGCTGCCCCTGTCTTTTCTGTGTGTGTGTGTCTCTCTCCCACCCCCAACCTTTCACTGGGTTTTTGTAGGAGGCTGGGGTAAAGCGTTCTCAGCCACTTCCATCTGGGGGAAGGGAAGAGGAAGGGAATAAGGATTTATATATGCAGGTACTATACAAATACCTCATTTGATCCTCACAACAAAGATATGAGGTAGGTGCTATTATTATCCCCATTTTACAGTTTAGGAAACTGAGGCAGACAAGTAAAGTGATTTGCCCAGGGTCATACAGTTAGTGTCTGCGGCTGGATTTGAACTTGGGTCTTCCTGACCCCAGGCCAAGCCCTCTATCCACTGTAATACCTAGTTGCCTTTCTCATTCTTACCACTCTATTCCCCACCCTGCTTCAATTACACACAAAACCAGTACATGCATATTCTGCTAACTACCATTGGTCAACCCAGGGTCATGCATATTACCCTGGGGCTTGGAGGAGCCTCAAGACTAAAACACTGGAAATGGGGGCGGTAGGGACTGTTGATCGAGGCTTAGGAGAGGCACTGGGTTCCAATCTCTCACTGCCTACTACTTACTAGCTGTGTGTCCACAGACTCAGTCACTTCTACTATCAGAAGCTCAATTTCCTTTGTAAAATCAGGTTAGTAACGTTGGTACTACAAGCTCCATGGGGTTGTGATGAGGAAAGTGGTTTCCAAACCTCAAAGCCTCATAGGAATGGGAAGTGTTATCAATGTGTTTCCCCTCTTCATAGAGAGCCTAGGTCTGAATCAGAAAGACTTGGTTTCAAGCCCTCTTTCAGATACATCCTGGCTGTGTAATCCTACATAATTCATTTAATGTCTTAGGGCTCCCAGGCATCTCTCAGACCATAAATTGCAGAGCAGATGCTGATCTGCTTTGGTGGGGGCAGTTTGCTCACAGGGAGTTCCTGCAGGGAAGAAATCACAGAGCCAGTGAAAACCCCAATAGGTCTTGTGGGGGGGGGCACATTTTTTGTATTTGAACTAGGCATTCTAGACACACAGGGTCTATCTGGCAGTGTAACCTTGCATAAATGTCTTCTCATCTCAGAGCCTCAGTTTTGTCAGGTGTGAGTTGGGTCAGATGCACTTCTGTGCCCTTTGGTATTTTAGGTTTTCCTCCTTGTCTGACATTCCTGACAGAGGATGACCCTGTAGTGAGGGAGGGGATAGCAGGCACCATGGTAGGCCCATAGGGGACACAGCTGTTTTGAAATAGAGGCATCTTTTGGAACTCCACAAATCCCTCTGCCCTAGCTGCTGATTCTGTCTGCCCTGGCTCCCTCTGACAGCCTGACCCCAACTTAGACTCTACTTATCATTTCAGACCCTAACACTTGCAAGATTAAATTACACATTAGTACCCTGCTGGCATATAGTAAGCACTTAATAGCTTTTTCATTCATTCTATGATGGCCATCAAATGTTATGATTCTGATCTTTTTTCTTTTAAAACTGTTGCCCTGTACTTATGACCAAAAAAATGCTATCTATCTCCAGAGAAACAACCGATCAAGTCTGAATGCAGATCAAAGCATACTTTTTTTTAACTTTCTTTATTTTTCCGGGTTTTTTTTTTCTTGTTATGTGCTTTCTTTCACAAGATGGCTAATGTGGAAATACATTTTGTATGACTGCACATGTATAACCTGTATCAAGTTGCTTGCCTTCTCAATGAGGGAGGGAAGGAGAGAATTTGGAACTCAATTTAAAAAAGAACTTTAAAAATTGTTTTTTATGTGTAATTGTGAAAATAAAATATTTTTTACAAAGCCTCTTTCCACCAGTATTTCAAGTTGAGCTGCTTTAATAAAGACACATAAGTAGTAAGGCTCTGGAGCTACTTTCCCAACTCACACAAGCACTGGTGGGGCAGGATCCCAAAGCAAAACTACTACTCCAGCTCCTCCCTAGAACTTTAGGGCTATCTAGAAGGGTAGTAGAGTTCTTCAAATACTCTTGGCTTAAGCTCCCATTCCAATGTAGGGGGGCCCCCCAAAATACCATTGCCAGTGCCACTTATTATCTCCCATAAAACTTTGACCATTGCTTTCTTTTCAATAAAAACCAACCAATTAACATCATTTAGCTTTATTATAAAAATTAATAAGTGCTTCATTTGCGTAATTATATTTTACTTTTTTCAATCAGCAAAAATCCATCTTCTCTTCCTCCTGTTCCAATCCCTTCCAATTGAGGGAAGAAAAGAAAAACAAAACCCCTGTTACAAACATGTAGTTAAGCAAAGCAAATTTCCATGTTAAAAAATGTCTCATTCTGCCCTCTGAGTCTTTCATATCTCTTATCAGGAGATAGGTTAACATATTTCATCATTAGTTCTCTGGAATTTTGGTTGGTCATGTTGCATGAATTTTCTTACCAATTCAACCAGCTAACACTGAATCAATCAGAAGAAAGGCTTTATCACACTCGGAGTATGTTATATTCCACCAGCAATTGATAGGGAATGTGTTATTCACATTTCATCAAGTAACATTTATACATTATATGAAACAAAGAAGAAAAGATGGCTGCTCATTACAACAGCTAGCCATACAAAGAAGTAAAGTATGCTTGTTAAAGAAAGGGTATATCATTAGCTACAGGAGATAGATAAGGGATATGTCCTAACTAGTTTCACTAAATCAAAGAGAACTACCTATCAGGCTAGATAAGGGAGGTGGACTTTACAGGGACTCCTAAATCCTTTTTTTTTTTAAAAAGCAATTAAGTCTTTTTGTACCAATCAGAGAAGGAGAAGACACTGCAGGAAAGCATCAGCTGCAGATGTTCTTTGTGTTTTGGGGTTTTTTTAAGGCAGTTGGGGTTAAGTGACTTGCCCAGGGTCACACAGCTAGTAAGTGTCAAGTGTTTGGTCTGAGGCTAGATTTGAACTCAGGTCCTCCTGACTTCAAGGCCGGTGCTCTATCCACTGCGCCACCTAGCTACCCCTACAGATGGTCTTATGGTTCATGTAGGGGTCATACGCAGCAAAATGGTGACTATAAAATAAAATGAAGTCAGTCATTTTCTCCCCAAAATTCACTTTCACCAATTTCTCCTTTGTTCTAAGATAAAACTATTTTTACCTTTGGGACATCTAACATAAGGGTGAAATTAAGGCTACTGCTTTTACAGAAAAGTACACAACTTAGTCCCAAGAGGGATATATTGGCTACAAAACAAAAAATAACAAATCATACAAAATTCAGAACTTTCCCCCAAAAACCACATATCAATTGATAAGATCAGTTAATTGTACCACAATAAATCTGAGAAAAAATGACATTAAAAATAAGTTTGAACAAAGTATCAATAAGATTGGAGAGTCACGATAATTCAAAAAAGTGTTAGGACACTTTAACAGAAAGTAGGCAATAAACACAGCTCTATCACGAGGGACAAAAAAGAGGAATAGGGAATATATCTTAATGTCTATTTAGACAACAGATGCCTTATTCTGTCACCTTGCATTTAGATGTCTACTTCATGAAGATGTCTTCTTTTGGGAAACATTTTTCCCTTGAAAATACTGTGTCAAAGGGGGTCTATCCTTTTTTAAAAAAATTATTTATTTTTAGTTCTCCACATTCACTTCCACAAGATTTTCAGTTCCAAATTTTCTCCCCATCTCATCACTCCCCCCACCGCAAAATGGCATGCATTCTGAATACCCCTTCCCCTAGTCTGCTCTCCCTTCTATGTCTCCTCCCCTTCTCTTATCCCCTTCCCCTTCAATTTTCCTGTAGGGCAGAATAGATTTCTACACCCCATTTCTTGTATATCTTATTTCCCAGTTGCATGTGAAAACAATTTTTAACATTTATTTTTAAAACTTTGGGTTCCAAGTTTTCTCCCATCCTCCCTCCCCACCCACCCTCATTGAGAAGGCAAGCAACTCAATTCAGGTTATACATGTGTACTCATACAAAACACTTCCATAGTAGTCCTGTTGTGAAAAACTAAGTATATTTCCCTTAATCCTATCCCACCCTCCATTTATTCTATTCTTTCTTTTGACCCTGTCCCTCCTCAGAAGTGTTTGCTTCTGATTATCCCCTCCCCCAATCTGCCCTCCCCTCTATCATCCCCCTGCTCTCTTGTCCCCTTCCCCCCCATTTTCCTGTAAGGTAAGCTAGCTTTCCATACCCAACTGAGTGTGTATGTTATTCCCTCCTTAAGCCAAATCTGATAAGAATAAGATTCACTCATTCCCTCTCACCTTCCC